GACATATATATTATATACTCCTAGACATATATATTATATACTCCTAGATATATATATTATATACTCCTAGACATATATATTATATACTCCTAGACATATATATTATATACTCCTATATATTTCCTTTTATTACTTGGTCAGGTTCAGGTAAAGAATAAATAGTACCTGCGCTTTGTGTGGACTGAGAATAGTCAAAATTCAGCTCCTCTCCTTTTTTAATATTCCTGAATTATATTATTTATCTCAAAAAATGCTAATTTTAAATCAAAAATGGACAACATCAAGTCAAGTTAGAAAAAAAACTTGGAGTTAGAGAGAAAAAGTTCAGGAATAAACTATTAAGTTAGAAAGAAAAAAGACAGGAATTTAGATAGAAATAAGGCCGGTATTTTGGTTGGAAAAAAGGCCGGGAGTTTGATTGAAAAAAGGCCGGGAGTTTGAATGAAAAAAGACAGGAAGTTAGAATGAAAAAAGGCAGAAAGTTAGAATGAAAAAAGACAGGAAGATAGATAGAAATAAGACAGGAAGTTAGATAGAAAAAAAGACAGGAAGTTAGATAGAAAAAAGACAGAAAGTTAGATAGAATAAAGACAGAAAGTTAGATAGAAATAAGTCAGGAAGTTAGTTAGAAAAAAGACAGGAAGTTAGATAGAAACAAGACAGGCCGGAAGTTAGATAGAAAAAAAGACAGAAAGTTAGAATGAAAAAAATCAGGAAGTTAGAATGAAAAAAAGACAGAAAGTTAGAATGAAAAAAGACAGGAAGTTAGAATGAAAAAGACATGTTAGATAGAAAAAGAAGACAGGAAGTTAGATAGAAAAAGACATGATGTTAGATAGCAAAAAGACAGGAAGTTAGATATAAATAAGACAGAAAGTTAGATAAATAAAAAGACAGGTAGTTAGAATGAAAAAAAAGACAGGAAGTTAGATAGAAATAAGACAGAAAGTTAGATAAATAAAAAGACAGGTAGTTAGAATGAAAACAAACAGGAAGTTAGATTTTTAAAAAAGACATAAAAATAGAATAAAAACCCCCAAATTAGAAAGAATAAAAGCTTAGAAAATTATAAAGAAAAGAAAGCATGAAATCATAAAGAAAGGACAGAAGGTAAAATAGAAATAAAGGCATGAAATAAAAAAGACCACATTAATTATTCTTAGGATAAGATGACAGGAAGTAAAGATTAAAAACAAAGTAAAGAAGTTGATGAAGATGGAACGAAAAGACAGAAAGAAAGAAAGAAAGAAAGAAATAAAGACATGGATGAAGATTAAAGAATACTGAAGAAAAAAGGATATGAAGTTGGAAAGAAGTCTAAAGTATAGTAAATAAAGGATTAATTTGTTTTTGGTCTTTCTGTTTGTCTGTTTGTTTGCATTCAGAAAACGGCAGAACCGATCGGGGCCAAACTTTTAGGTGGAACTTTACCCAAGCGAGGGAAAGCTGGTGAAATGTTTTTATTTTTAATTCTCTAAATTTTTATATTTTGAAAATTAGTTAGCGCTCTCAGAGCCTAGTTATGAATATTTACCGTCTAGCGAACAAGCAGAGCTGAGGTAGGTTTGGATCTAAACAGTTGATGTAAACGTTGAAGATATTTAAGTTAGGATCACAACTGTGGTTTATAAAGTGACTCAGATTCCCATAAAAAGCAGCGTCGACCTGATAAAAAAAATCAAATTATCTGAGAAAATCTGAAGTGTACACTGTACACTGTATACTGTACACTGTACAGTGTCCGAATTTAATGAATTTGAGCCGCATCTTAAATCCGCCAAAAACCGGTTTCAATTGAGCGGCGGCTTAAACCTTGAAATATTGAATACAATTTTAAGTGAAACCAACCATAATTGAGCCGCGTTTTAAATTTAAGCCGCCGATCAAATTCTTTAAGTTCGGCCTCAGGGTGATTAGTAAAAAGATTCCCGAGGCCGAATTTAAAGAATTTGAGCCGCGGCTTAAATTCAAGCCACGGCTCAAATATGGTTGGTTCCACTAAAAATCGTATTCGTTGTTTCAAGATTTAGGCCGGCACTCAATTGAAACCGGTTTTTAGCGGATTTAAGACGCAGCTCAAATTCATTAAATTCGGACATCGGTGGCCGAATCTAAAGAATTATTTTTGAACCGCCAGAGATCGGTTCCAATTGAACGCTGGCTCAAATCTCGAAACAATAACTACAATTTCAAGTGGAACCACCCATGTTTGAGCAGCGTCTTAAATTTGAGACGCGGCTCAAATTCTTTTACCTCGACCTTGGGATTAGAGTTATTTTACCAAACACTTAAAAAATTAGAAAAGTAAAATAAATGTACAAATATTTGACGGTATTAGAAGCAAAATGGAACAATTAAGTTTAACATTTAAGGAGAAAAAAACCCAGACGTAATTTGATCTCCTAAAAATACATCTATATATGATCCAAATTATTTCCTTACAAAATTAGAAAATTAAAAAAAACTAATCTTTATTTTCAAATTAAATGGATCAAGAATATGGTCAGTGTGTGCGCATATACTAATCATCTTTTTATCTTGTAAAAATGTTTAAAAATAATTTTATTCTAACTGATTGTTTTTAGAAGGAGGAGGGGGGGGGAGATCTCACCGTAAATGGATTTTCATCCCCTAGATTGAAGTCCAGATCAAAGAGATATGTTTTCCCGTCAGCATCATACTTCTTCCCTCTCTCCTCGGCCTCGTCAGAGGTTATAACCTCGCCAACATACTGGACAACAAAGCTGCCTTTCTTGATATTCTCCAGGGTCCTCACACCCCAGCCACACCCATTACTTGTTCTAAACAATATTTATTCATTTAAAAAAGTGCTCGGGATTCAATTTCATTTTTATGCGGATCCTGAATACACCCTGATCTAGGTTCTGGATCCTGAATCTACCCTAATCTAGGATCCGGGGCCATGTCATGTTCTTCAAGAAAAACTGATCTTATTAACAAATCAAAAAAAGAAGTCCCGATTATTTTTTATGCTAAAACTTGATGAACCAATCAGAGTTTAGGAAGTTTTTATGCTAAAACTTGACGAACCAATCAGAGTTTAGGAAGTTTTTATGCTAAAACTTGATGAACCAATCAGAGTTCAGGAAGTTTTTATGCTAAAACTTGATGAACCAATCAGAGTTTAGGAAGTTTTTATGCTAAAACTTGATGAACCAATCAGAGTTCAGGAAGNCCCCCCCCCCCCCCTCAATTACGGCCCCGCTCTGTGGTTGAAATCAATGGACTGATTGTACTGCTACATCAGAGGTCACAAAAAAATCATCTCTCGGCCACTGAAAGATCGCATAAATACAATTCAGATCTTCACAATCAAGTACAAAATCGCTTGAATTCAAAAGTTTCCGTTTTAGATATTTACTTTAGCTGTTGTAGATTAGCGATCTTTTATACATAAGTTCAGACCTCTGAGCGTACTAACTCCAGATATTATTTGATGAAGCTAACCAACATTTTGAAACAACGATACATAACATCGAAAACACATTATTGTACACACACGTTTCAGCATTATTGTACACACACGTTTCAGCATTATTGTACACACACGTTTCAGCATTATTGTACACACACGTTTCAGCATTATTTGATACTGGCGCTGGAAATCCAGCTTTGCCGGGAAACTAAATTTTCTCTATAACAGTAAACAAGGTCCACTTGACTAATTAGATTGCTAACATTCTCGTGGTTCTTCCGAGTTTCTCTCAAATATTTAACCCACTCAACTTAGACATTTTTAACCAAGCAAAGAACATTCCCGTGGTCCCACCATGTTCCTCAATCAAAATTAGAGAAAAATCGGTCGAGGGGTTCATGAGTTATGATCGTACATTAAAAGTAACAGATATTGTAGTTTTATATTTATACTAGCCTGGGAACCCAGCTTTGCCTTAAAACTAAACTTTCTCTCAAATATTCAAACCATTAAACTTAGACATCTTGAACCAAGCTAAGAACATTCTACTACTTCTACCGAGTTACTTAATCAAAATTAGAGAAAAATCGGTAAGTGGTTCATGAGTTATGATCTGACATCTAAACAAAGAAACAGACAAAAGTAAGAATTTAAATGTTCTGAAGAGACTATCCTTATAGAAGGAAGAAATGTATAGTTTAGACTTGACGCGATGACGTTTAATTTAGTGAACACTTTTATAAACGTCATCTAGATTTATTAAAAGGATGATTAAGAATGAAATCCAACAATGTGATTAGATATCTTTATAGAAAATTAATTATATTTCCAAGAAAAGATTGAAAGGAAATTTTTTTTCTCCTATTTAAAAATTTTCTTTGAAACTGTTTTCTCCTGAAATCTTTTCTATTCAAATTATTTCAAATATAAGTGTTTAAGAGAGTAACAGAGGTTGAAAGGAACTATTCACATAGTTTCAATTGACCGGCCCCAATGGACAACGTGGCATAACCTATTCACATAAACCCTATTCGATACCCTTTAAACCTTTGTCAGATCAGTGAAAATTTACAATTATGGTTTCACTGTAAGATTGATCCCCGGGAGGAGGGAGGGAGGGGGGGGGACCAATTTTGTGAATAGATCACGTGACCCCTAGCCGTAGGATTATCTAGATAAAGCTTTGATAAAATATAAATGAAAAGAATTTTAAAAATTTTGTCTTTTAAAAGAAAACAATTTCCCAGCTTTCTCCTCTTCTGTTTGCTTGCTGAACACTTTTAGGTTTTTATAAAACTCGAGAACACAAAACTATTCATAGAAATAATGCAAAACTTTTTTCAGCGACCATTGACCCTACCCCTATCCCCGTTCTTCAAAAGGGAAAGGGAAGGGGCGTTGGGGGTCGGGCAGGGCGTTCGTAAAACACCCACCTACCTCTAGTCTAAATTAACACGAATATTCAATACTTTTTTTGTGAAAGTTTCATCGTTTTTTACTTTTATTTTCATCAACTATGAACAGATAAATATTATATTAAATCATCTAATTTTTTTTAAACAAAACTATTTTGATCTATTTAAAAATAATTCAATCTGATTTAATTTAAAAAAGTTTAGAACAAAACAATCAAGGTTGATGGAAAAAACGCACGGATTATAATTATCAAAATTATCTATCTATTAGGGACCTGTTCAGGATATAGATTAGAGATTAGAGAGAGAGATTTCTGATCTTATCAGGCAGGATTCAGAGAAAATTTAGATTAAAGGTTTTACCAGAGATAGATAGATATTTATCCAATTACCAATCTAATCAATCCGTCTCATTTCACAAGAGGTTTACATATTTTAAGACATAAGACATGCCGTTAGACATTAGATATATGCCGTTAGACATAAGACATATGCCGTTAGACATTAGACATAGACATATGCCGTTAGACATAAGACATATGCCGTTAGACACAAGAAATATGCCGTTAGACATTAGACATAAGACATAAGCTGGTTCTTCAAAATTGGTCACAAAATAGATAGCGAAGCGTAGTAAAACAATACGTATAGTTTTTCAATTAGACGTTTTCTAAAATTAGCTAACAATTAGCTGCCTATATCTGGATCTAGATTTAAGTGGCAAACTATCAATCAAAACATCGGAATAGACACGTTTTCCACTCAAAAAACAAATAAGTTTTGCCAAAAAGATCATTTTCCAAGTGTTGGCCTTTAAAATGGCCCTGATATTCAAAATTAAATATTTTAAATGTGTATACAGTATACTGTATTTTTAATGTGTATACTATTTTTTGTACTTGTGTTATTGTGAATTTACTATTGTACTGCAGGGGGTTAAGACACAGCATTTAATGTTGCAGAATTATGCTCACTTTACCGCATTTGTATAATTATGTAAAAATTGAAAATAAACACAAAATAAAATAAATGTTTATAATATTACTGTCATTATTATCATTACAACACTAACCTGAAAATACCAAGCTTAACTTTTCGTCCGTTCTGCACGACTCTGTTTCTACAGCTGGAAGGACATTTACATCTATAATAAGTGGATAATGTCAGGAACAGAGATAATTAGTCAACTATTTACTTTTACAACCCACTTAGCGTCTAGTTAGAAAGGAATAAGATTTAGCAGCCGTACCTTGTTAAATTGAAATATATTTTGTTGCCGATACAAATGGAAAATTTCTGTAATTTTCCGCATATTCTTCTATTTTTCAGCTTGTTTAATATTTNCCTATATTTAAGGGAGTGTTCGTGTATTTATTCTTATTAATAAAACATCACAAAAAGAAAATTTATATCAATCGATTCTTAATACTATTCTGGTTTAGCCCATACCCCTTTTCATTTTCAATACCTTTTGTAAGTTTTCCATTGTACTTACTTTGCAACATACCCTTTTGATTAAATTCAATCTTAATTTGAACTAATCAAAATCTTCTTTTCATCATTCTTTTCATTACTTTAGCCCCATTTTGATTCTTATCAAAATCTTTTCAAAATCCCTTTTGAAAAAACATGCCATTTCTCCCCTCCCAAGAAGGGGGGCCCGGGTAATTTTTAAAAATGTACACCCCTGGTGTACTATATTCTTGTCAAGGTGTGTCTACTGAGCCTTACTTATCCAATCGTATCTAACCTAAGTTTAAGTTTACAAAATTATGCTAAACAAAAATGAAAACTGAATATAACTAGTGGCAAATTAGAAACAAAGAAACTGAGTAAACATTTGTATTTGTTCTATTAAATGTTCCTTTGTTTACGAGAACAAACTTTAAGTAAACAAACCTTTTGTTGCATTCGTAGATTGGATATCCTATATCAACTCTCAGTCTTCCATTCTGATTATACGCCATCTCGGTTTCATTCATTCCATAGCAGCTACTACAAATATAATTCGCAAATTATTTTTACAAAAAAATAATAAAAGGAATAACTGCAAGATCAAGCTATTTTGCAAATAAAAGTTTTTAGATGAGAAAAAAGAAAGGCGGTGTAGCAAGAAATTTGATTTATTATCAGTCAGTACAAATCTTCTTTCTTTATGATGTTTCTTAGAAAACACACTCCAAGGACAGTAAAAGTAGAGGAGCCCGGCCAGAGGGTCAGGGAAAGGAAAAAAACTGAATTCTTATTTCATAACAGGCTGTAGATACAGGCCACGGTAGTTGGAGCTTAACGGCGTCGGCTATTGCCACTCGGGCATAACAGTATCATTGCACATGTCATGCCAACTCTGTGATCCATGCACCCCAAAAGGGGGCTCTGGGTTGCAGGGAGGGGTGGTTACCTGGTAACACTTGTGTTAATGGGGAGTCAAAATAGATAAATAGAGAGGAGCATACTGGTAAACAGCAAGGCTTTATAAGATACTTTTCAAGAGTCTACTTAACTTATTTAACTTAGTTTAAAGAAAGCATAGTACAAGTAGTTAGGGTAGCTTAGTAAGTAACTTAAGAAACTTATCAAGGAACTAAGGCGTAGCAAGCTATAAAGACAACAGTAGCTAAGTAAGTTACTATTTAGTACCTTAATAAGTAACTAAGGTAGCTTAGTAAGTGCCGAAGCCAGTAGTTAACTAAGGTAACTTATGTATGTAACTAAAGTAGCTAAGAAAGTAACTGAGTTAACTAGTAAGCAACTAAGGTCACTAACTTAGTAAATAACTAAGATAACTTGATAATTAAATTTAGAAACTAACCTAGAAAATTCAGAAGGATACTTAATGAGTAACTAAGGTAACTAAGTAAGGGACTTCAGTAACTAAGTAAGTTATGTCTAGGTTCTTCACCAAGAATACTATAATCGTATTGGCTAGTCTTATTTGTTTGTCTGAACCGGTCAGACAATTTTCTTGTTGCATCTCAAAAAACTCTAGGGGCAAATTTTTTAATTCAGAATTAGAAATTTTTGCCTCAAAATAAAATCTAAAAGCTACAATTAATTAAAAGAGACAGGAATCTATAATATTACTGATCAATCATTTTCATGGAAGTTAACTTCATTTACCATTTAGAAGAACAATTTTCACATTCACAGCCAAGACGTGGGTCGTCAGGTATCTCTATTCCATCACCAGCCTGAAATTTGAAAAATATCGAAGTAGAGGAGGAAATTCACGATAACTAGAAGCGGCAGAGTAAGTTAATATGGAGGAAATCACTATCATCTGACAACAGGGTTTATTTAACGCTGAATTATAATATTATAAAGATTTATTCACACACAAAGATATAATACATATATAAATGGGTAATTTAAATTTGTTTAAATATATTTTTTGAATCTATAGTTTTACAAAAGAAAATTATGCACGCATAGGCGACATTGATCATTACTCATTACATAACATATTTATCATTTCAGTTATTACGTAATCATCGAATCCTTTAAGATCGGGAACAATTCATTAAGGAAGATATTGTGGTTTTTAAAGTCAATTTCCGTCCATGTCTCTGCATCAAAATCCGCAAGTCATTTATGAGGAGAAATCATAATGAGAGAATTTTCAGTTGTCTCGATAATTTTTGAGTGGACAAAGATATGGTACCGAAGTAAATCGTGCATGGGACTCTTTAAAAGTGGGTCATACCTTATAACAATTAATATATTCCATTAATGTTGGAGGTCCGTCCAGATCCACATCGTTAGTTACAGATACATGAGCATCCTTCTCAATATCATTTATCTTATTCTCCCAGTCCTAGGGATCAGTTCAACGTGGGTCATCCTGCTTAGTAGTATTTCAGGAATATGTATTTTCAAGAAATTACCACCCCCTAGGGGACGGGGAAAGTAATTGATAATGATATGGGCCAAATATTTATATTATAAGGCAAGAATTTTTTCCCATTCTGATAATTTTCATTCTAAAAAAATCTCATTTAAAAGTGATCTTTTTTCCCAAATTCAGCGATTAAAACATTTAAATATCTAACATCTGGGGAAAAAATTATTTTCAAGTAAAAAAGTTACTCTTTTAGGAATCATGATTAGGAGATGAATATTGTTATAATTTTAACAATGGAAAAATGTGCATCTTAAAATTTGGCTAATTAAGTCAAGCAAATTTTAGAAATTAGCAATTTTGTAATATTAAAGAACCTTAAAAGTAAAAACGTTATTGGTTCTCCTATTTGAACACAAGTAATGAAGAATAAAAACACTTCAGTGTTTTCTAGACAAAACAAATGTTTAAATATTAAAATATATTCCAAAAATACAAGTTTCTTACAAATTTTATCAATTTTAATATTAAGTTCAAGACCCAAATAAACACACATGCATGTTTTCTTCTTTTTAGAAAAAGCGAACAGAAAACACTTTTTTTTGAGGGATGGTTTTTAAATAAGGCAAATTTATAAGTGAATAATTTCATCTCTGAAATATAATTGAAAATGGTCATCATGATGAGAAAGCATAAAAAGAAAGAAAGAAAGAACGCAAGAAAGATGAAGCGGGTTAAGGTTTATGCTTTGTACGATCACATTTAATTAAAATCTTGTTCTGCAACAGCAAAAACATGTCAAGCTCTCACAGCTTTGTAAATATTAATTGATTTAGTACTTTAGTATTCAAGTTTAGGGTATTTAACAATAAATAAATCAACCTTTGCCAAACTACACATTTTCCTTTGCGATGAGTCACACAAAAAAGCGAATCCTTCATTTTATTTTCTATTTTATGAAAAAGAATTATCGTAATAATTTTGGGACAAAGAAGAAACATATAAATTGAGTATTCCTGGATATACAACGCAATTTAATAATCCTGAAATTCAGTTAAGACTACTTCCATAATTACGAAGAAAAGATTTTATGCATTTTCTTTCTTCAATCTTGATGCGCAAAAAATCCAATATTCTAATTTGAAGCAAAAAATATTCGTAATATATTTATATTTTTATTAATAAATAATGTTTCCTATTGATGTTATAGTCGACTTTTTAGCGCACAAGAACGGCAAATATTTTCTACAATTCTAATTATAATGTCATATCGTTACAAGTCTGGGAGGGAAGGGGGGGGGGGATCATCATCAGAATCTTTTATTTTTTTTTATTTAAAATCGGAAACATCAGCTTTTGTAACATCCTTAAATTTTACTGAACAGTAACACCCCAAAATTTAATCTAATAGCCCAGAATTGTTTCAGTACCAGAATTTTGTCCCTGATCACTTCCCTCTAACAGTGATTCTCATTCATGTTTAATTGGGGACCCCTTGGCCTTCTCATTCGAAGAAGCTGAGTTTTCTTTTCCATCGTAAACCTCGGATGAAGGGATGGCCTCCAATGATTAGAAAAAAAGATGGTCTCTGCAGGGAAAATAGAGGTTTTATTAGTCCTGACCCTAAGTGTCCATATTACCAACCGATGTTCTATTCAATTTAACTATATTTGTGGTTTAAGAGATATATTTAAAATATTATTCACTATTCAGATTGATCCTCAGAAAAGCCAATTAATTTTCTTTGATAAATATTGAATATCCTTTATCATTTTCCATCAAAAATATTAATTCTGAGAACCACTAACAATGAACGAGACAGAGAAGTTTTCTATGAAATAAATTAATGAAAAGGCGTTCACGGAAGAAACTAATTTCTGAAGCCTCTCTANGTTCAACCCCGTCTGAGAAAAGCTCAACCATGATGTTCACAAAATATAATTATTATTTTACTTTCGATAAGTTAGTTACAGTCTTCATTAACAAGCGGCAATAATTTGAGACGAAGTAAAAGCACGAAAAATTTGAAGAAAAATTGAAAACGGAGTGAAAAAAAAAATATGACTAATTTGATTTAAATTAAAATTTCTAATACCACTGAATCGGTAAGTTACGGAACTATGCATTTATTTTTATTGGAAACCCTGAGTTCGAACTAAATTGTTAATTAAAGAGCAGTTGATGTGGTGTTGCTGGTTCAATTACTGAGTTTATTATTTGTTTTTGGAGATCAAGGGGGTTACAAATAGAGTCCAGGCATACTTAATAGCTTCAGCCAATTGGATACCATTTTATTTTTAGCTTGAACAATTCAGTTCTTAGATCAAAATACATTCAAAATTTTCGTTCCAGGGGAGACTTTATTTTGTGACAGCTATTGCTTAGGATAAACGAATACAGGATCAGGCTAAGTGACTAAGGAAAATAAAATTTTAACATTTTTCATCTCTTCAAAAAAAAGTTTATCAAAAATTAAATGGATCCTAAGAACTGGTGACAGTGCGAAGCTTTTGCTCCTGAACTGGATGAGTTGAGGGGTATGTCGTCCATTCTTTTCATCAAATGGAGACATTTGAAATACACCATCGACGGTTAAACCGACAAAGGGGGAATTAATAATCCATAAAGTGACAGGTTTAAGATACAAAAGTTTCCAGATCAGAGATGTAAATTTTAGAATTATAGATATCGAGATCAATGCTTGATCTCCTCTTTTTGTGTCTAAAATGCTACCAGTATTGATTGCAGGACCCGAACAGCTAATCAGGAGACAAAAAAATTATGAAACGTTAGCGCGAAATCAATGAGAGAATTTATTGGATGGGATCCAGAAGGTTTATACAAACGAAAGGATTAAGCATAAAACCAAACGTTTCGACAGTCGATACAGAGATTTAGCAATCAACTCAGAGACCGAATTTAGTGAATTTGAACCGGCAGTAGGTGATTCAGTGACTCAATTAAAATCTATTTAAATCGGTCTCAGGTCTTTATCCATGCGTTGAACTTTCCTTGATTTGTTTGAGTTGATTATCCCTGTATGTCTGTAGTTCGCGAAGGTTCAACTGAACCCTCACCGCCTCCAACCTCTTCATGTTAATCTTCTTGAGCCCCGCCAGGTTCTCCATCTCCTTCCTCAGAACGGACTCGGACAGGAGCTTCGTTACCTTTCCCTTCTTCTTTGCCTGGGGAACAGAATCAAAACTTAACGGATATTCAGGGTATGGAGAAATGGGAGGAAAAAAAAAATTGACAAAAAACAAGTTTTTTCATCCTTTATCATACTTTTTATATAATTCTAAATTATAAACCTATATGCCAGCCCCCTTTAATAATCAGACTGGTATTCGAGAGGGTGATGATCTTAAAATATTCAGGAGAAAATTGCAAACTTTTCTTTAGGCTTTCCTACAATTAACAGGCAAGTCAATTCCGTTTCTTAAAGCTTATTTTCGATATCAATTAATTCAAATGATTCTAGATTTTTTTGGGGCTACTAAAATCATATTTAATTACGAGATTCTAACTTTTTTAAAGCTCTACAACAAATATAGAAAAGACAAATGAGTCAAATCCAGTTTTCTTTTTTCTCTCCTAAAAAAAAATCTTTCCAATTGTTTTCTAAGTTTTTTTGTTTATTTCCTCCACTAAAAAACTTCTGGATAGTTTCTAAATGCATTTTTGGGATTATCTATGTCGATTCAACCATAACTAAAGGTAAAGTTCGAAAAGAAGTAAATATATCGGTTTTGACTTTCCTGAAATAAAGCCTCCAATGTCTCCTGAGATGGTTTGGTGTAATACTTAGAGATGAATAAATCTCGTAAATCTTCTGATATTCTTGGATCTGGGGGCATAGGTAGGCTTCTTTTCCTAAAACAAGATTTACACTTTTAATAGGATTACTGGATAACAGTTTTCATGAAAAGAAAATAACATATTATCAAGATGGAAAGGACTTCACAAGCTTCATTATTATAAAACAAATTAAAAAAAGCAGAGGCGTACTCGGGGGGTATGGTGACTGGAGCCCCCCCCCCACACACTCATGATCAATAACATTTGGGGGTTCCATGGGGTTTTAAAGGCCTACAATTTAAAAATTTAAGCCCCCTAGAAGTGAGTACGCTTCTGCGGACAACTGATGACGAGAAAGTGAGAAAAAAAACTACAACTGAAGTACAAGCAAAGGGTTAAAGGGGGTGACCGGCAGACCATTGAGGAAAATGAGAAAGAAGGGTATATAAAAATATCATCAAAGATTAAAACACTTAATTTTGATCCCTTTGAGGGAAATGTTCGGGACTAAACTATTAAATCAAGTATATTCTTTTTAAACGAATGTGGCAGAAGGAGACGAATTTTAAGAAGATTGATACTTTTGAAGTAGATAAGGTAGGGAAAATAATATTATAAAGTTTATTTTAAAATATTTAGTTTTATTTGAAAACACTTGCAATAAAATGAAGCGATGTAATAACTAATTCATAAAAAAGTACGCAATTTATCAGTTTGACTGAAAAGATACGGATTATTCACTAATGATTTCTGAAAGGATCATAAAGTAAAAAGTTTTGACCTCGAACTAAAAAAAAATAACTTACTTTCCTGCTGAAGCACTTTCTCTCTCCTGTAATCTCTTGTAGTAAAATTTAACAAGGTGTTCCCTGACAATAAAATAAATTAAATGAGATTGTGATCGAAATATTTTTCAGAATAAGATTTGACAATGTGTTTAGCATTTCAAAATAAATTGTTATTTTTATCATGGCTTTAAATTTTCAGTAAAAAAAATAAAATCTTAGAACTGCTTAGAGCTTAACTCCACATAGATTTGTAAATAAGATATCACCATCTATATGAAGTAGTAAAGTCGTCTTCAAATAAGTCTAGAACGTTTTCTATCGATTATTGCTATGGCCGAATTTAAAGAATTTGAGCGGCGGTTTAAATTTAAGCCGCGGCTTAAATATGGTTGCTTCCACTTAAAATTGTATGAAATGTTTCAAGATTTAAGCCGGCGCTAAATTTAAACCGGGGTTTGGCGGATTTAAACCGCGGCTCAAATTCTTTAAATTCAATCTCAGGACACAAATAATATCAGTTTGTTTGTTTGTATGTCCGATCATAACTCATGAACACCTTAAATTTTAATTGTGGAACTTGGTAGAACCACGCGAATGTTTAGTTTCCAGGTAAAGCTGGGTTCCCAAGCTAGTATAAAATAAGTGTACTGTACTGTACTGTGGAGGAGAATAAACAAACCGTCTCTGTTCATATTATTTTATTGCATTTTTAGTGGGGCGTCTTTACGAGGTTTCTGAAAACTACGTAATTCGATTAATTTTGGATTAATCTACAAACTACGTATTTATTACTGTAGTCGTAATTTCGAGTGACTATCGTATAACAGAGTTGCATTTCCAAATAAATGATCAACGGTACTCTTCAAAGCTTGGTACAATCAAGATTGAATAACATATCCATGTTTGTCTCTTTTAAAATTAATTATCTTCAATTGTAGTTAGTTTTTCTACAAAAATGACTACTGCATTTCTCCTTCAGAAACAAAAGTAGTAAATTTTCAGAATTAAACACTTTTCATGCTAGAAAACGACGATATCTTCCACATTATTGATAAGTTTGAAGGGCGCCGTTATGAATCGAACAGAATAGAGTATAACTTTAAATTACGTGGATAGCCTAGTACATCAAGAATTCATCAAATGTCGTATTCTTTACTTTCTGATAATGGAATGTCGCAGATATTTTCGTTTTTTATTAAATGATTATATAGAGCTCTTTAAAACTGTTCCCACATATTCATGGCTATTTATTTATTTTCGCAAATACTGAGATTTACGTAAAATAGTATAAACCCCCATTGAAAATTGTCAAGACGACATAAATTCTTTCGATGTATGGCTCATCTAGGGTTTAACTGTAAAAATATTACTAACCTGCAGTGTAGTAGGTTATCTATAGGTTCCCAGGTATTATGCTCTTCTGCCCAACCAATCCATTTAATCTTGTAAAGTCCTCTCTCCTAATTAATACAAACAATCATGTTTACAGGATTACCTACAAAGAATAAGACTATAAAGACGACCTCAGAGGTTTGTTTGAGACTTTTGTCTTGACTTCTTTAATGTTTTGTCAAAAAAGAAACAGCGTCAAGTTGCATGGAATCATGAACATCAGAAACCATACAGGACAGTCGTCTCTGAAGTCTAATCCGGAAACACTGTATGTAAAGTAATAATCACTGTTTGTCTGTTTACGTGTTTATTTTTCCGTTAAAATCTATCAAGACCGGGAAACGGCGGGAGTAACAATGAGTACCCTGGGCAACGCTGGGTTCCCAAGCTAGTTTATATTTATAAAGTAGTAATCTCCGTTTTAACCATTCAAAGTTAAAGGAGTTGTCTTTTCCCAAGCTAGACATAAATATTCTTGAACAAATCAGAGAAAAATATACATTATACATTGTGTTAGTGAAAAGTGAAAGTTAGCGCCTGATCTTAAAGTTTTAGAGAAAGATGAAAAATCCCTGAATGATTATTGTTTGGTTTCTGAATCTCCATCAGAGAAGGATAGAAATAACATTTTTGAACAAATATACAATAAGGGGAGGGGTGGGGATGGATTTTTGCTGCTCTGGTGAAAATATGTATAAAATGCGCACGGGATTCGACAAAATTGAAATCATCAACATATTAGTGGGGTGGGGTGGGTGGAGATAGTGGGGTGGAGTGTGTGACGCCAGTTCCCGTTAGATCACTGAAGTTAAGCACACTTTTCCACAGCCAGTAACTGGAATGGTGTCCAGACTGGTGTTCAAGGGTTCGATTCCCGTACTCCACACAAACCTATGGTTGTTCAATAACATCTGAAGCCGACATCTGGTTAAGCAGTTATGACCACCTGATGGATGTAGGAGGACAGAGGGGAGGTTGTCAACAACTCTCGCAGCGAAAGGGTGCGTGCTTTCTACTCAACAAGAAAGAAGCTTTTAGTGGATTTGATCCAAGTGAATGATGATGAAGAGAGGAAAGGTGGACAAGCAGGGAATGTTGCCAGCTATAGGTACCTGGGGGTATCCAATCCAGGCTTACAAATGACTAGAAGCAATGAGTGTGATGTTTCCTATCAGTATGGCACCCGAGCCTCATTCCAGTATATCAGAAGAATTCCTGCACTCGATTATTCTCAGGCCTAAGAAGTCCTTAGGCAGCTGGAATCATGTCAAACCTCTTCTCAGTATGAATAAAGCGTGGATGGATGAATGTTCTGCCAGATTACAACCCCTGGTAGATCAATATAAATACAGACAACACCAAACTTTCGCAATAGAAAAATTCCGAGATTTGATCGTAACAACCCGATCATGTCATGGGGGCAAGAACATCTCTTTAAAAAAAAAAACATTTTATCGCATTGATTCATAAGTAGGAAATTAATATAATTTTTAACTTACCGTTTCTTTACAGTAATCGTAATCCACTACTGATTCCACTTCATAAACTTCTTCTTCAGCATCTTTTTCTTCCTCTTTGTCTTGTTTAAGATCTTTGTCAGTTTCATTATCGTCGTCAAAATCTTCCTTTTCTTCCTTCTCATTGTTAGTCTCGTCCACGATAAATAGTTTAACAAGAGGTTCTTCACTTCTTCTCTTGGCTTCGGATTCTTAATATAATATGATAATGTAATAATAGAAATTCTTAAACGAGATGAAATAGTCTTGATGTATTCTTTAACCAAGAATTCCATTTTAATATTTTTCCTGAAAAGTGTAATAATTACTATTTCTCAATGCTCGTACCGTGTAATAATTTCCATTCTTACACGGGCTGAGCGTTAAAGAATGAAAATACTACATCTGCAGTGTCAGAATAAACTGTATTAATCGATAGAAAGCCTTCAATATTAAAAATAATTCCCCTGAACCCTGTAATAATGTAATTACTACACTATAGGTTTTCTACTATGGAACCGAACAGATATAATATGATGGATATTTCATGTAAATTGAACCATTAAAATGTGTTCAATTTAAAACTGTGTCTTGAGTTTATCAAAATTTTTACCCAAGTTAGCAACCCAATATTTGATATCTTTCTCATATCTTTCATAGCGATTTTTAGGGAAAAAAGATTAAAAAAGGGTTAAAAAGTAGAAGTTACAAAGATTTATTAAATGTTGAGAAAAACGTAAGATTGTTTACCCTCGTCGTCCTCCTCAACTCGTTTCCGTTTCAATCTCTTCACCAGTTCCCCAGACTCTGTACTGCTCAGGCTATCCGTGTCGTCCTTGCCGTCGTCCCCCTGCTCCACGATATCCTTCGTCTTAAAAATGTCCTTCTCCAGGTTATTCTCCATACTGGTCTCCTTCTCCTGTATGTCGGACGGATCGGAATGTTTGGTCTGAGATGTCTCCATTGTTCCAAGTATTTTTGTCTGGAATTATTTTATAATAAGATACATACGTGATTTGATTTGATTACAAAAGGAAAAAACTTTGCGTTTGAAACTATCAGTTGCATTAAAAAAAATTGCTAATTTTCAAGAAATCTAATAGTTGTCTAACAAAAGTTCTTATTTAAAAATCGAAAGAAAGAAAAAGTAAATTAAAAGTTAATTGCATAAATGAGGTTTAAAGAGCTATAATAAATGAGCCCCAAATAATATATATCTATCTGCGCGCAATATTCTGAAAAATATTATAAAATACAATTATAAATGGATTTTGAATTTTAAATAAAAAAAGATATTTAAAACTTGTTCTATTACAACAACTTTTTCTTTAAATATCATAACCCAGAGATGGAATTTAAAGAATTTGAGCCGCGGTTTAAATCCGCCAAAACCCGGTTTAAATTAAGCGCCGGCTTAAATCTTGAAACATTTGATACAATTTTAAGTGGAACCAACCATATTTAAACCGCCGCTCAAATTCTTTAAATTCGGCCACAGGTCATTTATATAAATATAACTTTTATTTTTGAGTATCACGAATTACTGATAGGCCTGTGACAAGACTAGGATAGGATTTAATTTAAACATTTTAGTGTTAATGCTTGAAAATGGCCAAGGTTATTAAGATTTATTGAAATCAAAATTTCTAAAAAAAAAGGTAATTTCAATTATTTCTAAGATCAGCTTCAAATAAACAAGAAGTTACAAAATTTTCAATAGATAATATTAAAACTTTACAATTCAGAAAAATGCGACGAAAATTGGAATTTCTTTTACCGGGTGTCCCACATAAAATTAGACCGCGTCAATGGGTCTTAATTACCATTTTGGGGACAAATCAGAAAATTTAAAAAGTATGAATCATTTTGAAAAATTTAATAAAGCTAACAGAATTTTTTTTTCAGAAAATGTTAGATTTTTCGAGTATTATGTGCGTATTTTGGCATTAAAGGTTGGAGATAATCTAATATAATATGGGACGCTCTGTATGTTAGCTGAGCTATTTAATTTTAATGAAGGACAACATCTTTGAACCAAAATCATAAAATAAAAATCCAAATTCTAAAAAGACCAGATTGAATAAACAAAAATTTGAAATTAAAGAAATAATGATCCTAAATTGGCCTGAAATTGAAAAAGTAATAATCCTCAATTGGTCTGGAATTGCAGTATTGATCCTAAATTGACCTGAAGTTGAACAAGTAATGATCCTTAATTGGCCTGAAGTTGAACAAGTAATGATCCTAAATTGACCTGAAGTTGAACAAGTAATGATCCTAAATTGGCCTGAAGTTGAACAAGTAATGATCCTAAATTGACCTGAAGTTGAGCAAGTAATGATCCTAAATTGGCCTGAAGTTGAACAAGTAATAATCCTAAATTGACCTGAAGTTGAACAAGTAATAATCCTAAATTGGCCTGAGGTTGAACAAGTAATGATCCTAAATTGGCTGAAGTTAAACAAGTAATGATCCTAAATTGGCTGAAGTTAAACAAGTAATAATCCTAAATTGGCCTGAGGTTGAACAAGTAATGATCCTAATTTGGCTGAAGTTAAACAAGTAATGATCCTAAATTGGTCTGGAATTGAAGTATTGATCCTAAATTTGTCTGGAATTGAAAGAGTGTTGATCCTAAATTGGCCTTAAATTGAAGAAATATTGACCATAAAATGGTCTGGAATTGAAGAAATTGATCCTAAATTGGCCTGGAATCGATGAAATATTCAGGGTGGCCAAAACTTTTTTGAACCCATCCGTACAAAAATCCGTACATTTTCAGAAGAAATCCGTACAATCCGTACAATTTGAAAACAAATCCGTACAATCTGTACAATCCGTACAATCCGTACAATTTTAGGGTTAAAAAAAATCAATCCGTACAATCCGTACAATCCGTACATTTTGGCCACCCTGAATATTGAGCCTGAATAGGCCTAGAATTGAAGAATTGTTGATCCTTAATGGGCCTGGAATTGAAGAAGCATTGATCCTGAATTGGCCTGGAATTGAAGCAGTATTGATCCTTAATTGGCCTGGAATTAAATGCCTATTGATCCTAATCACTATAACTAGCACGATTCTGACTATTTACTGGAATGTGTTGATAAAAATGACAAGAAATGCACTGGTTAAATATAGATAAATAAAAAAACAATGTTAAGTGTTAAAAAACATGAGCGTACAGGAAGTTCTGAACCTTCTAAAAATATTAGGCCTTGTAAGGTTAATTTAGTTTGAAATATTGACCAGAGATGCATTGAAATATACCGACTAGTTGAACTACATCTGCAGGACATATTTCAACTTATCGTTATTCAATATTTCTACCTCCGACCCGATGTTTTTATCACAATTTCAAGTATGCTCTATAAAAACAGATAATTAATAGTGAATGAATACAAATTTACGTACATTACAAAACAATTTCAGAAAATATTACACTCACAATGTAAAAAAGTTATATAGACAATATGTGTAATGTGTAATGATGTATAGTATAAATCAGTGCTTAGGATCCATTTAATTTTGATGCAAATGCGGATCCCGATCCTTGATCCGCACAGGTAATTTCATTAAAATGTACTGAATTTTTTAACATAGCAGAATTTTTTTTCGCTTACTGTTGTGCTACAACTTGAGTTGAACCATTTAGAAAACAGGAAATTTTTATAATCTTTCTTTTTCAATAGTTCCGATTAGGGTTTTGAGAGTAAAAAAGGGTTTCTTTTTGCAGTTTTTTGTTGATATTTTGCCCCTTGGATCCGGATCCGTATATTTTTGCGGATCCAGGAAGCCAAAATCTCGTGGCTAAGCGCACTGGTATAAATAGAATTTCCTATGCTCCATAATGATATTATACAATTTTCAACTTACGGTTGAAGAAGGTTTAGGCTTTGAGGGTACAATTATTCCATGAATGCTTTTTAAGTGAGATTTTAAATTATCGTTTCTGCTAAAATCCTTTCCACAAACATCACATTTAAATCTACTTTCCTTCGTATGCGTCAGTACATGACGCTTTAGATGCCAATTGGACGCAAAAGTTTTCGGACAATAGGGACAAGCCAGTCCTCCCAGTCCTGCCATACCGTCCTCTGCTAGTCCGTCAGGTCCATACCAGTCCTCTGGGCAGATATCTCCTCCTCCTCCCCCTTCTCCTTCCTCATCCAGTCCTTCATTCAGGGAAATATATTCATAAGAAACAGGAATAAATGATTTTAGTAGGTTGGGGGGAATGTTGGGAATGGAAATTTAACAAAAAAAATTATAATTTAATCGTATTTTACAAGCAAGTACCGGGTGACTTCCACTTTTTGAAACGTACGAGGTTTCGTGGATTATTTTGTCTATCTTATCTTGAAATTGAATAAAGTGTGTAAAATTTTATATTTAAGGAATGAATAATCAATATCTCTGATGACACATTTATTTTCTCCAATTTGGCAATAACCCCTATACACCATAACATTCCCTAAAACGTAAGGGATACAAATGAGGAAAAAAATGGGGAGGGGGTCAACAGAATATTTGCCCCTGCCTTCATCATCATAAAGTTCAACTAAACTATTTGTCTCGAGGTTGGGTTCAACCTCAATCATCTCTTCAGGTTCAACCTCCTTCACATGATCGGAACTATTGACAGGGTGTTCATGAACGGAACTATTCTTCTTCTGCTTCTTCTTGGCCGGAGTAGTTGGTTCGTTAACCTCGCACAGTCCTTTTATTCCCAAACTCTGACGAAGCAAAGGGTTAATTTTTAGATAGAAATTGAAGGATTGGTCTATGCCGACGGCGGTTGGGGTATTTTTTAACAGAAGACCGATCGTGGAGAAATATTTAAGTGAAATAAGAAAAAAGTTTTTTATGTTTAATACAAGAAATGTGTACAAGCAAAATTATGTTCAGGGGAGGGGGGGGGGGGT